CAATTCAAACCGAAGTACGTAGGGAGAGGCGTATGGGGGTGACATTCAGAAGGGGGGAGAAAACGAGAAACCAAGGTGAGGGAAAAGGAAAAGGAAGAAGGGCGAAGGGGAAGATTCGGAAATGAGGAGGAAGGAGACGAAGGTGATAGTGAGGGAGAAAACGAAGAAGCCAAAGACAAAGAGAAAGGATAAGAAGAGGAGGAGGGGAGTGGGGAAGCGGCGAGAAGAGTGATGGAGAGAAGAGGCGAAGAGAAGGAGGAAGAGGGGAGTATTGCCGACACCAGGTGTGCATAATCAGACATTCCACAAAAGCATCCACAATATACGCAAAAAGAGCAAGCCATTGAAACGATCAGCATGCTCAGAAAGGAGAGAAACGATAAAAAGGAGAGACAAGCTAAGAAAACGTGCGAAGACGTCCCCGTCGCCATCTTGGCCTCCATTATTGCCCTCACGCGCTATCCAACCACCTCCTCCAGCCAACCCAAATCAGCAAGCAGAAAGCACAGGCAAAGGCAGCCGGCAAGAAAGAGTGATACGAAGCAGATGGTGCCGACAACGAGCGAGGCAAATCCCCTTGTCGAAGCACGCAGGAGCACCGTTTCGGAGAGGCAGGTGGCGAAGAGCAGACCCGTCGTCGCAAGGTTGGGAAGCAGGACGAGAAACAACACGAGAGCCAGGTATGCGTTAAGCGCAGGCGAGCAGGGGCAGTAGCGGGGCATGGCGATTTTGGCAGGGCAAGTCGCAGCGCTCTGCATGGCAACCGGCTTGAGCGCAGTGGGGGCGGGATCACAAGCGTGCTTCGTACCAGGAGTGTTACCACTTCCTCCTGCTCAAGCCGTTCCTCCTCCTGGTCCCACTCGGTGAAAAAATCCATGTCGCCCACCGCAATGCAAAACTCTCCCGCAAAACCGGATCGCCGCTCGTTCCAAGTGCTACCGGAGTCGGTTATCGTTCGATAGGCCGATGAATAGTTATACCGTCGCTAAATCCTAATATAGTCACCGTTATGCCATGCATAGCATACTTCCATCGAAAGCCTCTTATTCCATCCATATGCTTAGTGCGCCTATCCGACGGTTCCATAGCAGAGTCTGTAAGCTCAAAAGCTAATCAAAAAAGAAGAAAAGAAAAAAGAAAAAAGAAAAAAGACAAAAAGAAAAAGAAAAAGAAAAAGAAAACGAAAAGAAGACAGAGCAAAACGCAAAGGGGTAACAACCAGGGGGTCGTATAAAAGCACATCGTTCATTGGTATGTGGTGGGGACAAAGGTCAATATTTCTTGGCCCTCCCTGGGAGTGAATCGTTCTCTGACCCAAACGCGTCCTACTCTACTATCTCTGGGTCGGGGGAAGCAAAGCCCCAGGGTTCAAGGATACCCCTTTGTCTATCCAAAGGGGCTTACTGCTGCCGGGGCGCTTATTATTAGAAAAAACTAAAAAAAGGAAAAGGAAAAAAGGGGAGAGAGGGAGGACAGAAACAAGAAAAAAGGAAAAGAGAAAGAAAGAAAAGAAACGAAAGAAAAAAAAAAATAGAACAAAAGAAAAAAGAAAAAAGAAAAAGAAGGAAAAAAAAGGAAAAAGGAGAAAGACAAGGGAAACAAGGGGGGTCCTTATTTCCGCAGGGGCAGCCCACTCCCCTTCAACCTTCCGCTCGTCCCGTCATCGCCTGTACAACCATGTGCGCGCGTGTGTGTGTGTGTGTATATGTGTGTGTGTGTGTGTGTGTGTGTGTGTGTGTGTGTGTGTGTGTGTGTGTGACCCACCCCATTCCCTCCAGGGGATGTCTGGGACCGAGGGATCTGGCTGCCCGGAGAACAGCCGGCCCCTTAGGTCCAGCCATCCCCCGGGCACCGAACACACACACGCAACCACGCACCTACACAAGCACAAACACAGATACATTGGTTAGGCCGTAAACCCATGCAGATTAGCCAGAGCCTCTCTAACCACATGCACATACAACTTGCCCGGTTGGTAGAGGTGGGCATTCCACAGGGTCCTCTTGACTACTCTCCAGCATGCGTCGTTAGCGAAGCCATTCTCCTCCATTGCCATAACCACCCTTGCGAGCTCGTTGACAGCGTTTTCTGGTTCTGAACAGAGTAGGAGGATTTGCGCAACCTGCGCAGAGATGATCTGAAGTGACTGCTTGACACTCCTGTTGGACTTATATCTGACGAATCGGCAAGGAGAAAAACCCATCCCGTTGCGCTTACCATGCCTGGTGGTTGCATAGGATCCCGCTATCGGTGAGGTGACCGTGATGGTGAGACTGAGGAAGTTGGCAATGCGTCCGCTTTCTTTTTCCTTCAGCGCCGTGTTCTCTTTGATCTCGATGAAGTCCTCCGGATAGATCCAGCATGGGTCCCCCGCCTCCCTTTCGCCCTTCTTGCGCAAAAAACTGTTGATGACCACGTTGTTGATAGCTCCTAGGTCGTCCATGTATTTAAACGTGTTGTCAAAGCACGGGATCAGATGGGCATTCCCGGTATCTGCCAACCTCATCATGGCGTGATATTCATACTTAAAAAAATATATGTCACACTAGATCGGGGAGTACGCCAGTCCCATAGGAATCCCCTTCACCTGCCTCCAAACGTAGTCCCCCATGCGCAATATGTTGTTGGCGATACACCAGTCCGAGAGCCAGTAGATGTCGCGTTCCCTGAATAGCAGCGCGCCCTCCTCCTCCGGTTGCTCATCGTCCACCCATGATGGCCATATCCCACCATGTTGTCCAAACCTGATACGGATGGCATGGCAGGAACTTCTCTCCCTTCGAATTTGCATCGCGCACTGCACGTAAAATCTGACCGCAGCGGGAAGACTCTCCTCCGAACCGTCCGTGGGGATAGTCTCGAAGCATCTGGTGATGTCAGCCGTAAACACCGAGGAAACCTTCTCCGGAAGGTTCGCATGGAATTCGCCCACCGAGGCTATAGCCCACCAGAGATTCGGTCTGACACCATACTGCTCCTCCACCTCCAAGCTCCTCTCCTGACAGAAGACCTGCGCCAGCGGAAGCAGGAACCTCATCAAACAGGCGCAGACCTCCGCGACAGGGGAGATGATGGTATTAGCGGTGTTCGTGATCCACCGGAAGGTCCCCTTGTGCGCCTTGAGAACCGCCATGAGGTACGTGAGTGTCGCCGGTGCGATGGGGAGTGCAGGTAGAGCAGAGAGTTCGCCGCGTATACATGCGATGGCAGCCGCCGGTGGTACGTTGATGCTGGCGAATTCAGGACCGGAAAGCCTCTGGAATGCGAGCTTCCGCATGAAGTTCTTGCATACAAAGGCCGGAGTGTTGGGCGCCTTGTCCGTGGGGCAGATACGGAATCTGCCAGTTATGAACTCCAACTCCCTCTTGACAGTCGGGTGCTCGAACGGCTCGGCAGCAGCGTACCTGTGCGCAGCACGGTACTTCTCCATCCTCGCCCTTGCTTTCTTCATAATGACTCTTCGGAGAAACGACTTGGTAGAGGCATTGAGGTCACTCAACTCCATGACCCGTGCGAATAGTTCGTCTAGACAGTTTCCCAGCTCGACGCTCGCCTCCTCCACATCCAGGGCCATGCACGGGATATGGTTGAGGCCGGCTCTGATGATGCTCTGCAGCAGCGGGCTATCCGTGATTGACGAATCCAGTGTAATGACGTGTGTGCAACCCTCATTCTCGAGTAATTCAATTGTTGCGCATGTCCATATATCTTCACGACCTGCAGGGACGTTGCTCTGGATGGTAGCTCTCCATCCACTGTGCCACGTCGAACTCGCAGAATGTCTCCGCCGGCCTGCACAGCTTGGAGGCTATCTTGGGATTGTAAGTCCAACCGATCCTGGTGCGCTCTAGCCAAGTCGCCGTATCATCTCCGATTACTCTGCTGAGCACCTCATTCACCAGCCTCCTAACAGAAAGTGGTTCCATTACGCGACTGGTGTACTTCAAGTGCAGGAACGTGTCACAGTCAGATTTTTGCCTCTTCCACGCCTTCCTGCCATTAGGGAGCGTGATCATCTGGCCACGAGCGTTCACCCATTCGTCCGGATCCTGCACAGCAATACACAATGGTACAGGACAGAGTATGTGTTGGGGGGGTAAAAAAGGAAGTCGCCATGGTGCAGTGATGCACCAGTGCGAAAAATCGATCGGCCACGTAGGTGTAAAAGATAACAGCTCAGACAGCGAATGAGAAATAATCAGAAAATAATCGGAAGTGTGCCAGGGGGGAAAAAAGGGGGGGAGCGGAGGGGGGCGAGAGAGAGGCAAGGAGTGGCATCGCCAGCCTAGGCTCTCGCCGAGTGTCTGCCAGCGGCAATGCCGCCCCTCCCTCTGCCTCTTCCCCCAATGCTCTTCCTGTTCCTTCCACCGAGTTGTGTGAGCGTTGACTGAGCGGGTCGCCTGGCGAGATATGGATCACCGGCGGGGGAGTGAGACCCCTGATAATCATCAGAGGGTGCTGAACAGAAGGGAGCGGCGAGGCGAGGACAGGCATCCATGAGGTCGATGATGGGGCCACCTGCTGGCCCCCCGATGGAAGTGCATCGGCAGCAAGGTTCCTTGGTAAGGGGGCGCCACCTGGCGGGTTGATGCCGACGACCGCAGCTACGGGTTGCTGCTGGGGGGAAGGCGGAGGAGGAGGGGGAGGAGGAGGAGGAGGAGGGGGAGGTGGATCCGGAGGGGTATTGTTCGTGGGTTGGGCCCTTCTGAAGTTGAGAGTGGTCTGCCCGGGAACCTGCGCCGTGCTGCCTCGTTTCCGCGCCACAGCTCGCGGAGAGCTGAGTGGAACCCTCGATGGTCTCTCGGGAATCCGGGTGGGGAGCATGATGCGCGCCAGCATGGCGGGGATCTGGTAGCTCCAGAGCCGGTCCTCCTTGAGCACCCCTTCCGCATTCAATGTCCCATCTGCCTCAAGCTCCTTCACGATTCCCATCATCACATCCCTGAGAAAGTGGAATCCGATGGCGGCCAACACCCCGTCCTTCCAAGTGGTACGGAGATAGTGAATGAGCATTGAAGTGCGAACCTTGATCGACGATAAGGTCGGAAACAAGACATAAGGATGCGCTAATAGGAACCAGATGGCGTGATCAAACCAGAGAGGGGTACCCCCACAATCCCTATTCCTTTCCTTCTCACACTTACACTTCAAGTACGGCCTTCCCACACTCCAAATCTTTCTGAGTGTCCTTAGATCGATCTTCCCTTCCTGCCTAATACCCTTCTGCCACATTCCCGAATTAGTCTCTCCACACTTATCAGGGTCCAGTTCGCGCATAGGGGAAAATTTCAGGTCTTGGGGATCCAATGGGTTGACCTTCCCACAATACTTCAGCTTCCTCTTCAGTATCTGTGCCCTACACTACTTGACCTGTTCATCGCTAACGTTCCCTAAAAATTGAAGTGCACGGATGGAGATAGGTGCAAGATGGTTAAAGGTATCCATCTTCCAAATCGCATGCCTAAACCCGGTGGACGTGTGTTCGATCCAGCATGCAGATGCAAGTGGGGCAAAGGCGGTGTACTGATCGCGCTCAGAAACATCAGCGTTGCCCTTGCTGGACATGAGCCGGGAGTCCTGCATGGCGGCCCTGATGGCCGCAATTGCTTGCTCCATCTCCGCCCTTTCCTCTTCCTCGATCGCAATATCGTCGCATCGCGTCGTGGGGGTGCCCCGGGGGTTAGGGGAGTTATAAGCATGTACAACGGGTACACGACCCTCCAGGTGTGAGTCATCTACCCCCCAGATGTTGAGGAAGATCTGTTCGATCTTCGCCGCCCTTCCTCCAAGCTCCCTGCACTCCCTCATGTATTCGCGCTTTCTCAATTTCGAGCTTCTCACAAAGGGTTCCAAGTTCATCATCGAAATCATTCCTATTTCGCTCCCATGCTTCGGCAAGAACGGCGAGATCGCTGAACCTATCATCTCAAAAAAGTGAGGGTAGTTGTCGGAATCCTATTTCGCCTTGATTGCACCGATGACGCCTGGATTAACACACATGAGCAATGCCTGCGTAGGCCTAGCAGGGGGTGCGCATTCCTTCAGCCACGGGAAGCGGTGCATGATTTCATTCCACCAGCCCCTAGGAAATGCCTCCTTGGGGGGAGGTTGTGGGCGAGATGAGTGATGACGGGAAGGTTGGATTTGTGCAGGGGGTGTTCAACCGGTAATATCCGTAAAAACGATTTTGAAGACGCGAATCAGGGGGAGGCGGACGAGAAGGAGAAGGGTGTGCGATGGAAGGAGGAGCGCGAACGTTGTTAGGGGGGATGGGGATACAGAGGATCCGTTGTGGAATGACGGTGGGCATGGGAGGAGAGAGGGGGAGGGGGGACGGGTTCACGGGGGAAGTACCGGTGAGGGATTGGAAATACAACAATTGGGGACACAACAAGGGAAGCACAAGAACACGAACGCAACAGGTTAACAAGATTATTCCAAAAAACAGAGACGGAGCTAGCATCAGGCAAACACACCGTTACCTAGACTTTCGTAATTTTCCACTACAGACATCACGTCTCATTTTCTCCATTCTAAACAACTCTCATCCGTCACCCTTCCATCGCTCAGACAACCTCAGGCTTACCCTATGGCCACGACTATCACCCTAGGGCCTGGTCCACGCGGCGGCGCATAAGGAGCGTCGTGATGGGGGGCCTCACAGTGCGGTTGGGGAGGGCACCCCCCAACAGCGATCGAGGACACTCGTCCTCCTTAGTGTGTAGCATGTGCGTGTCACATGAGAAACGTACGGGCACGACACGTCATATCCGTACAGCTCCGACCTCAACTGTCGGCACACAAGGGGCAAGATGCAAGGCGCAAAGGCGATTCCAAACGCGGCAGGGTAAAGCCCACTCGTATGTCCATTTGTGGTAAGGGCGAATAAGGCCATTTTTGCCGAAGGAGGGTAGGCAGGCGACAGTAGCATAGGACGAAAGTGAGTGGGGTGATCGGAGCCCGCCGCTCAGGGCGTGTTCATACATCCATAGGCGCTCATTCCATCAGTATGCTTATTGAAAAAGAAAGAACAACGGAAAAGGAAGAAAGAAAAAAGAAGAAGAAGAAAAAAAAAAAAAAAAAAAAAAAAAGGAGAAAAAAGGAAAAAAGAAGAAAAAAGCGATTGCACTTTCGGAAAGATAATTCCGAGCACCCATACCCAAGCATCTCAGCAATTCAAACCGAAGTACGTAGGGAGAGGCGTACAGGGGTGATATTCAGAAGGGGGGAGAAAACGAGAAACCAAGGTGAGGGAAAAGGAAAAGGAAGAAGGGCGAAGGGGAAGATTCGAAAATGAGGAGGAAGGAGACGAAGGTGATAGTGAGGGAGAAAACGAAGAAGCCAAAGACAAGGAGAAAGGATAAGAAGAGGAGGAGGGGAGTGGGGAAGCGGCGAAAAGAGGGATGGAGAAAAGAGGCGAAGAGAAGGAGGAAGAGGGGAGTATTGCCGACACCAGGTGTGCATAATCAGACATTCCACAAAAGCATCCACAATATACGCAAAAAGAGCAAGCCATTGAAACGACCAGCATCATTATTGCTCATAAAGCGACAAAAGTGTTGACGTCAAAACGCACCACGCCCTGTTCTATTGCCAAGATCCAAATCCGTTCGTAAAAACGAAGAAAGAAAAAAAGAAGAAAAGGAAAAAAGGAAAAAAGGAAAATAGACAGGTCATAGACAGGGGAAGGTTCTCGTGGGAAGGGAAGGGAGAAAGACGAAAAAGGAAGTGGAAGAAGCCCTGCTCCAGCTCTGTCCTCCAGGTCCTACGTGCTTCTGCATTCGCACAGACCATCTCGCCAGATTGCAGGGAGGGTGTGGCGAATCCCTGAAGCGCTTTTCTACCCCATGCCACTTGGGGCGTCATCAGAGGGGGGTGCATCTCCTGGGAGACGAGGTGGGGTAGGAGGGGCACGAGGGGGAGAAGGGTGAAGGGGATGGCGGATGGGGGGAGGGGGTGAAGATTCGGGATGGGGGTAGGGAGGGGAAGGGGGGCAAAACCCGAGCGGAGGGGGAGAAGGGGGGAGAGAGTAGATGAAGTAGAGAAAAGAGAGAAACGATAAAAAGGAGCGAAAAGCTAAAAAAACGTGCGAAGAGGTCCCCGCCGCCATTTTGGCCTCCATTATTGCCCTCACGTGCTATCCAACCACCTCCTCCACCCAACCCAAATCAGCAAGCAGAAAGTACAGGCAAAGGCAGCCGGCAAGAAAGAGTGATACGAAGCAGATGGTGCAGGCAACGAGCGAGGCAAATCCCCTGGTCGAAGCACGCAGGAGCACCGTTTCGGAGAGGCAGGCGGCGAAGAGCAGACCTGCCACCGCAAGGTTGGGAAGCAGGGCGAGAAACAGCACGAGAGCCAGGTATGCGTTAAGCGCAGGCGAGCGGGGGCAGTAGCGGGGCATGGCGATTTCGGCAGGGCAAGTCGCGGCGCGCTGCATGGCGAACGGCCGGAGCACAGGGGGGTCGGGATCACAAGCGTGCTTCACTCCAAGAGTGTTACCACTTCCTCCTGCTCAAGCCGTTCCTCCTCCTGGTCCCACTCGACGAAAAAATCCATGTCGCCCACCGCAATGCAAAACTCTCCCGCAAAACCGGATCGCCGCTCGTTCCAAGTGCTACTGGAGCCGGCTATCGTTCGATAGGCCGATGAATAGTTCTACCTTCGCTAAATCCTAATATAGTCACCGTTCTGTCATGCATAGCATGCTTCCATCGAAAGCCTCTTATTCCATCCATACGCTTAGTGCGCCTATCCGATGGTTTCAGAGCAGAGTCTGTAAGCTAAAAAGTTGATCAAAAAAAAAATAATAAAAAAATAAAAAAAATGAAAAGAAGACAGAGCAAAACGCAAAGGGGTAACAACCAGGGGGTCGTATGAAACCACATCGTTCGTTGGTACGTGGTGGGGACAAAGGTCAATATTTCTTGGCCCTCCCCGGGAGTGAATCGTTCTCTGACCCAACCGCGTCCTTCTCTACTCTCTCTGGGTCGGGGGAAGCAAAGCCCCAGGGTTCAAAGATACCCGTTGGTCTATCCAAAGGGGCTTACTGCTGTCGGGGCGCTTATTATTAGAAAAAACGAAAAAAAGGAAAAGGAAAAAAAGGGAGAGAGGGAAAACAGAAACAAGAAAAAAGAAAAAGAGAAAGAAAGAAAAAGAACCGAAAAAAAAAAAGAACAAAAGAAAAAAGGGAAAAGAAAAAGAAGGAAAAAGGAGAAAGACAGGGGAAACAAGGGGGGTCCTTATTTCCGCGGGGGCAGCCCACTTGCCATCAACCTTCCGCCCGTCCCGTCATCGCCTGTACAACCATGTGCGCGCGTGTGTGTGTGTGTGTGTGTGTGTGTGTGGTGCGTGTGTGATGCGTGTGTGTTTTTGTTTGTGTGTGTGTGTGTGTGTGTGTGTCTGTCAACAGAAAAAATGCAAGGCAAAAAATTATGTTTTTCAACGTTTACTATGAGTTTATATGACTTTAATATATCCTTACATATGTACATGTCATATTTTCTTATGTTGAAAATTTGTTTATTTGTATTCTGTAATCAGTTGGTGTGTTTATTTGTAGTTTGTAATCAGTTTGTCAGTGTTTATCGAACTCATGTCAACGTGTCCCAACACGTTTAAACATGTACCAACTAACTTCCAACTTAAAAAGAGTATCTTTGAACTTCGTCTTAGCACCGTACTTTTTCTCTGGGGTGTGGCGAATGAAACGTACACGCATTTTTCGGAGACGTAGTCGAAGATCGCAAAGAGGTGATAGGCATTGTCACGTGTACTACAATTGACATATAAAAATGTATTGTATATACGAGACGGACGTAGTTATTGGTTGAAAAAAATGCATACAACTTGCATACTGAAGATATTTATAGAGGAGCTTAACTTATGTCCACCTTCTGCATGCTTTGTTTATAAGACATTTTTTGTTTTGTTAACATAAAAAAATACCCGTGTTTGTTACCGTTGGTTTGCTACAATTCATTTGTCTATCCTGTCAGAGGTCGTGATATACGTTCTATACTTCATTGGTTGGACACAGACTCGTGTGCGTAGAGTTGTGCTAGTTAATCTTTACTTTTATTCAAACCGTCTGTGTGCGTGAAACATACAACACATCAACATGTCTTAGTCGGCAGGTGCGTCGTACTTCGATGCACAATTACACCCCAATGTCTCGAATGCGTACGCACCTGCCGACCACGACATGTTGACTGCAAAATCACTGCACCGAAGTGTTGATTATGGACAATTGAACTGGAAAATGCAGAACATCTGATTGGTTAACGTCTAACCGTTTATTTTGATGAAATTACTTTTGTGTTCATATTATGTAATCCTAACATGTGTGGG